CAAGAAGTCCAAGGACAGCTTATGAATAACAGGGTCTAAAAGTTCTGGCCAGAAGATAGATGCTTTCAGGCACAAAATAAATATTCATTTTGCTTGAGAGAACTTAAAAAATTAAAACATACTGTCATCTCCTCTTTAAACTACATTTCTAGAGAAGAGAGCTGATGAGATTTTTTCTCCCCCCCTTTCCTCCCTGACATGTCAAGAGTACAAAGAAATTTAAAATTAATGCAACACTTAAGAATTCCAAAACTCTCTATCTGCAGCTCCTGTGAACTGCTGGCAATGATCTGGGCCAGGGCAGCTGAGCTGCCTCATGCCAGGGCCTGAAATACAGAAGGAAATTTGGCAGAAGGAAATTTGGCAAAATAGATTTAAGACTGGTCTGTATCTCTCTGCCTCAGACTCTGCAGTGCCTGGAGAGGCATCTAAAACCCCTTGATGAGAGCTGTGAAAAAGCATGGCTGCTGGCTTTGGGAGGGAGAGCTTGGTAAGAGCGGGATCCCACGAGCCACTGGGCTCAGCAAGGAAATGGACTAGGGAAAATAAAAAAATCCATAGCCAGATGAGAAAGCCCCAACATTTTCTAACACAATCCGCCATGTGCTCCTCTTCTACGTTGCTCCCCAGTTCCCTGGGTTTCTGCTCTTTGGCATCTCTGTGGCTGGTTTACCAGATCCACAAGGCAGCACTGCTGGAGGAACCCCAGCTGACGCTGTGAATTGTGTTCCCAGTCTGGGACTGTTCTTTGTCCACTGCTGCCCCCAGAGGGTAAGCACCTGTGATCACTGGGAACTGAGGCAAAATTCAAACCAATTTAGCTGCTGTCTCAGCTAACAAAAAAAGCCAGGGCAAGGAAAATCCCAGGAAATCTGGAGACCATATACTGCCAGGTCAACACAAAGTTCATGGCTTTCCATTGATAGTGGCAAAAATCTTACTAATTGGGCTATGGTTCCCCTTTTGACCATCTGCTAAATGCAGGCAGTTATCCCTCAAGTCAAGCAAGGATGCTGCAAACCCTTGTATGACTCAAGGCACTGGATCAGATCTTGGAGGCTTTGGCTCTTTCCTGTCCGGTCTTGTCCCTCTTAACCCTCAGATCTCTGCGGGTTGGCCATGGTTTTTTGCTGTTATAAAAACTGAATGCCCAGCAGCCTGAGTGAGAATAATATTTGTACAGTCTCCGAAACTATGAACCTAGCTCTGTTCTCTACAAATGTAATTCCAGAAATCATCAGACTTCCTGTAGCTAGAGGAGACCATTGTTACTTATGATGCTAGAGGAGTTAAATTCAGCATAGGTTGCCTTGCATATGTAGCTATTATCCAGGAAGTTATACACAATGAAACAATTCACAGTCTTAGAGTCATTTAATAATTCAGGCTGAAAGCAAGTTCTAGAGGTCTTTCAGGCCAAACCCTTGCTCAGAGCAGGGACAAAAGACTTCTGGACATACAGCACTCATAACCAACTGCATCCTACATAGACAATTCCAGGCTGACTGGAGGTCAGTAGAATTTGCAGGCAGATCTAGTCAAATTTTGATCTAAGCAATTGTTTAAAAATTGAAAACTAGCAACCTCTCATATAAAGTGTAATTTGGTTCCTGCTTGCTTGGCAGGCTTCTAAAGAGACTGCTGATATATTCCACAAAAAACAAAGACTTAAGCAGAAGCTTGTCTGGAAGAAAGGACACATAAGGAGAAGAAAGCAAAGCACATGAGACTAGATTTTCCTCAGCTCAGGCCTTTTTCCACTCCTGAACATTTGTGCAACAGATCTCGACCTACAAAGAGTCAGACACGCTGATGAGGACTCAAGGGCCACGGTGAAAGCTGACCTACTTTGGGATGATGCCATTTTAGACAGAAGAACATTTAACCTCCAGTGCTTCCAAAGCTTCAGAAAGTTAGGAAAGGTTTTGCTGTGTTATAGATGAAGGCAGCAGGAGTGACTCAGGGCCACAAAGCAGCCCTGCCTGGGGCTGCAGCCAGCCCTTCTTTCCCCTCCAGTCTCCTGTGGCAAGGGGAAGGCTTGCTGCAGGTGTCAGATGGGGAACACCCGGAGGTTTGGGAACCTGCAGTGATGCCCATCTCCCGTGAACCCTCACCTGGCCAAGCCCTGCCTGTCATTTGGTGCATTCATCTCCTGTTTGCATTAATAGGAGGGTTTGTACTCAGGCTCTGGTGAGTGGCTCAGGTGTTGCAGCAGTGATGGTTGTGGCATCTGTTCATGTTCACATTGTTAAAGCCCTCAGGGAGCTCTGTCCACAGACGAAAACGGGGAGCAGCATCCCTGGGAAGCGCCCTGCCACCTCAGCCCTGTTATGGAGTACTGTGTGCAGCACTTGCAGGATGTGGAGCCGCTCCTGAAACCTCCCAGGGAGTAATCAGCAGCAAAGCAAGAACCGGCCGTACAGCAACCACAGACAGAGATGCATTTGTGAAACAAAAGTAGAAACCAGAGCTAGGCTACAGGTGATGCTGAGAGAGAGTAATCAGCAGTATCACAGTTGAACCTCCTGCTGGAGGTAAGAGGCACAGCACTAGTACTTCCAGGCAACTGGCCTTCACACCAGCTGTGAGACATGCATCCCACATGCGCTACGTGCATGGAAGAGCTACCCTCAAAAAAATCTTTCAGGGTTGATTGTTGCATGCACAAGGCTCAACCGGTCCCCTGGGTAACATCCAAGGAAACCAGCACTGCAGTGAGTCCAGCAGCAAGAGCTCACTATCAATGTTGAATTTATCTTTGGGTACCTGCCTCCCTGACTCACTAAGACTTCTCCCGTCACCCTTCACTTGCACTCTGAAATTCTGGAGAGGACACTGAAGAGCATGGTAAGGCAGCACAACAGCAGTTGAAAAAAGTCTGTACTCCTCATTGCTCTGTGGCCCCAAAGATAAATTTCCCAGGTTTCGGGATGAGAGTGAGATCCACTTCAGCAATCATATTTGTCTGCCTTTGCGAACCATGTTGAAAGACTTGATTGAAACTGCAGCTTCAGGTAAAATAGTACTTGTGCAGTACATCTAGCACCAGTAGTAAAACAAACTTTTTTTGCCTCCCCCTCCACTAAAGCAATGCAATTTAAATGAATCACTTGAATAATATTACACAGTTATTTAGAAAGGCTCAAGCAACTTTATTAAAGGGATGGTCTTGAGCAGTGTGTTCGGGGTGCCCCACTCCAGAACGTAACCTGTGGGGACCTCTGCACAGAGGGACAACTGGTTCACTGGTGGGAACTGGCATAGCCCCTTCAGCTCTGCAGATCACATTGACCCCACTGCATCTCCTTCCTCCTGCCTTTGCAAAACTGCCTTGTTGGCCCAGCACAGGCAACTTCAGCCTCTGAGGCGAAAACTCAAGATTAGGAGCAACCATATCAAGGAGGCTCTGTTCTCCTTGGTCTGAGGTCCACACGGGTCCTTGCAAGCACTCATGGTGCCCGACTGCCTCCATTTTACAATGGAGGAAACGGGTCAGAGAGCAACAATATTCTTGAAGGAATCCTGCAGCAGGGTAAGTCTGTGCAGTTCAAAGCCTTCAACCAAAGCTAACGCTTCAGGGCTTATGGCGCAGGGTAAACCTTGACAAAGTAATATGGTCTTGAGTCCCCTTGAGGGCCTCTGGCATGACTGTTCCTCCTATAGCAAAGGATAGAGGTCTCCCTGATGAAGGCACATCATGTACCCAAGCATCTTATTTCCAAGCAATAAGAATTCTATGCAGAGATCTTTGCGAGACTCCATCTTCAGGCCATTTGGAAGGATTCCCAGAAAAACACTACCACCACAGAAAAAAAGGCCTAGTCACTGTGTGGTCATGCTCTAGAAGTGAGCAGCAGGTTGTTCACATTTCCAGAAGTGACTCCACTGAGCCACTCAGAGCACAGTAAATTCTGTTCACTTGTTGAAGGGCTACCGAGAAAAGAAAAGACTGATATCTTATGTATCCTTGCAAGGCTATGGGGCCCAACACTTGACTTCAGAAACTAGCAACCCCTTGCCAACAGAGATAAACGGAGGGCCTTTTGCTGCTGGGAAGCCAGAGTTGTGTTTTTATTTTTTTATTTGCCCAATGTGTTGCTTTCAGTGCATGCACAAAGGGCACATGGAAGAATACCCATTCCCAGTCAGGGCAGGAGAAGATAAGTCTGGACTGAGCCTTTCCCTGACAAATATTATCAAGGGATGGAGCTTAAGATAGGCCTTTGAGAATCTCCATAATCTTTTAAAGAATGAGTGCCCCAACCCCACTGGGCACCAGAAAAAACCATGCATTGGAAATTGTTTCAAGAATCTTCCTCTGCCTCCTGATGAAGGAGGCAACAGCCTCAGTTTTCCACCACAGCACAGAGAATTACAGACACCAAAACATTCATGCCAAAGCCTCCAAACAAAACCTTAAACACTCAAAAGGGTTACATAAATATATTGCTAGCTTCAAACCCAATTAAGAACCAGCAAGCCTGCTGCTCTATCACCAGAAGTTAACAGCATCGAATAAAGAAGAGAACATTGCTGAGAAGTTAAACCATTTCTCTGTTTAAATTTGTCAAAGAGGATGCATTTTAAGACTGTTTTATAAAGCACCAGACCAGCCAGAAACAAGCAAAGAGCTGAAAAACAAATTAGCCAACCTGCTAACAAAAACCCCAGTCTCAACCACCCTGAGCATGACAAGCACTACTCCCCTAAAAGGCTGGCCTTGGGAGTTTATTTAAGCAGTGAGGCTCACAGCAGCTGTATGAGATTAACAGCCTCCCGTGGACTGCCTGGCTGGGTCAATCAGTGACTCACATCAGCTGCACAGGCATGCAAAAGCCTCAAGAAAAAACAGCTCTAGTTAGGCCAGCTCTGAGAGTGTGTGTGTTTTGGGGGGGGGGGGGGGGGGGGGGGGGGAAGGGGGGGGAGGGAGGAGACAACCTCCAGAGGTCCCTCCTGGACTAGATGACTTTCCTTCCAATTGAAATTATTCCAGGATCAGTGAAGAGTGAACCTCAGCAAGCCAGATGATCTTCTCAGCCATTGTCTTTGGACCTGTGGCTACAGATGATTTGGGCCTGCTGATCAAATCGTGTTCATCTGTCATAAAAAGCTATTTGACAGGGTGTGAAGCCGTCTGGGAACTGTTTCCTCCTGCTCTGGTACGTGAACAGTCCCTCGATCCGTTCCAAAGGCAAGGCAGAAATGCAGCCTAAGCGCATGTGCCTTTTCTCCAGCACGGCTAATAAATTCGCTGCCTGGCATTCAGCCTACTCTATCACTACAATCTCTCTTTTTCTCACTCTTCTCAAAACCTCCTGCCTTATCGTCTCGAATCGTGCCAATCCTAGCCATGCGCGCATGGTCATGTCTCATTTTGATTGACTGCTTTCTCTGTGCCGCTTTTTCCCCATTTTTAATGCAGTTCTCTTTGTTTTTGATTTTTCTTTGATGCCTGGATATTTCCCCTGAATGGGAGGGTCTCACAGGGAAGGGCATGAGCAAACGCTGCTTTCGCTCCCCGTTTTCTGCCTGCGTGGATGGTGAGTTGTGCAGCACCCAGGCACTGAAACCCCACGCTCAACCACATGCTTGGAAAGAGCCAGGACATAAAGACGAAGAGAGAGGATTTGACTGCATGCAGATTATTACTAAATTGCACAGAACAAGAGAAATGCATTCCCTTAGAGAACCTGTGTCTCGTTTTTGTGGATCTGGGAGCTATGAGAAATCTGCTGAAGAAAAAAGCATCTCATCTCCATCTTCTTTGCTCCCCCCTCCCACCACCCCGAACTTCTCCTAAGTGAGTTTGAACGTTTCCATAGTTACACAGCACCTTCCTTGCAGTCAACAAGAGGGAAAAACAATACCTTGGGGACAGTGCAAAATAAGTGATGTTTATTAATATTCATATGATCCAGTTTGCCCAGTCATGGTTGGCTATATTGAAATTCAGTCAGCTGTTTAACAGAGAAAGGCTGCTAATCGTAATCCCTTGAATGCCCCGTTCGCTTGTGCGTGGCGGACTTTGGCTCCACAAGTATTTCAAAGATGTCTCTATCGACGGCGCTTCACTGCCAGGCTGGTGCTGCGAGCGCCTGGAGAGGTGATGGTGAGCGCTGTCACGGATTCCCGCGCAGCAGCACCACGTTAGACAGTGACACGAGAGCTTCTTAGGGGATCCCGTTACAGCCCATCACTGACACACAAAACAGCATTTCGCAAATCAAGTGGGAGAAGTCTAGTCGCGAGGGTACCATAAACGCTTGGAAGACGAGGCAAGCTCCTAATCTTGCTCTGTTTTCTGCTGAACGCGGAGCTTTGCAGGCTGCGTTGTACTTACAAGGCAAATAGATGCCAGTCTACACCACAAAGTCTGGAATGAAAAGCGTAATGAGAGTGGATCCACGGGTTTTCCATCTCCCTTACCAACATCACATACGCGTACTCTGTGCTGGTGGATGTGAACAAATGAAAACTTTTTCAGTGATTCTGGGGTGAGGCCAGGATACTCCAAGGTTTACACCAATTAATTTTAGTTCTCCGGTTGCAAAACAACATTCAGGGAAGCTGCTAAAAACTGCAGCTGCATTATTATACTCAGTGCTGTCTTGGGGAGGGGGGTCTACTGTAAATTTAGGGAGTATCCCAAATATCCTGAGGAACATTGGACATTGCAGTGTAGTGAAGTACTCTGTTTTTTCAATGGATGCCCTAGGTCACATGGCTTGTGAGGAGAAACAGAATCACGCTGGTGATAATTTATGAACAACAGAAATGAAATTATGACTTGGATGTGTGGCGGTAGCTCTGCAGCTAATGCTAAATCCCTTTTTTTTTTTTTAGAATGCAAGCACTGCGTGGAGAAGACCTCCCTGAATCTGGTGCCCTTTACCACGGGCTGTATGGAAGGGCTGCTCGTGACGCGGCTGCTCCCCAGGAGCCTGGCTGCAGGAACAGCCTAGCTCCGTTTGCCTCCTTCTGCTCACTAGAGCATAGCCCAATGCTGCTGAGAGCCCTGGGGCCTCCCCAGGGTTACCTCCGCCTCGGATGCCAACAAACGCTGCAGATGCCCCACAAAGAGCCGCTGCAGCACGGCCTGGCCAGGTGCCGGTGAGTGCTGCGAGCCGGGGACCGAAGTGCATGTCCTGCCACGTCGTGCCATCCATCGCATGCCCTTGCAGCACTGGGGGTGTGGGGAGCCCGTTGCAGGAATGGGGCAGGCCAAGGGGTGGCAAATGCATCCCGTGAAGCTCGGGGGACCGACAGGTCCCAGCACGTGGGGGCCTCAGCTTGGCAAAGCATGCAGCGCCCAAAGACACTGCACGGGGGAGAGCAGCCCTGGCTCTGCCGTCCAACAGTCCCGGGGGCAAAGACACACTCAAAACAACTGGCAAGTCCAGTGTGGAGGTGGACAGTTGCTTTGGAGGAGGACCTGGCACACTCAGATGAAAAGCCGGCGTGTGGACTGGCCGTCAGGGATGTGCAGTGGCCTCATGGACTGCCCCCGCAGCGGACGGCGGGGTCGAGCCTCCCCCGCCGTGCCATCCACTAGCACGACGCTAGGTTGAGATGAATGAAAATCACTCGCACAAGAAAAGCAATATTAGTCAAAAAGTCTTATCGTACATTTAGTTAATTACTAAGCGAATTGCTTTAATGCTACACAAAATATGCAGCTGTGTTTAATGAGCTGCTAAAATGCTCTCTGGGCAAACTTTAATAATATCACTGTTCTCACAGAGGAAAATTGCTGCAGGGGAAAATGCATCTGTTCGCGCCTAAAATGTTCTGAGTGACAGCTCGACCGCTATTATCTTTAGGGCTCACAGCAGTCAATTTCATTAATATGAAATGTTAAAATATTTATGCTTACCGCTAGTGTGCAGCCTCCAGGGCAGCCTGCAAGCCCAGCTCTGCCAATGACAGAACAAGCGATCGCAGGGTGGGTTAAATAAAATTGGAAAGGAAAGCCGACCCCTGATTTTTCTGGCTTTCTGTCGCACGGCATGTTCCCCGGGCCTCAGCCAGGCAAAGTGCCTCAGCTGAGCTGCGTCTTCTCCAGTTTGTCCGGAATCAGCTCCTGGAGCTGTTGTCTTGTACTTCTGCTCTTAGTGGTGGAGAAAAGGAATTCGGCACAAACGGAGGAAGAAGAGTCCACACCACTGAGAATAAAAAGCAGATTGGTAGGCAGGAATGCGTTCACTCCGGTTAGACACACTCCCACTTCCCGAGCGCTTCTTCTTCCCCACTTGCCCCCATTTGCTTCCCCATGCATGCATCCATGGCCCAGCACTTGAGACAGACCCTTGGTGCTGCTTTCACCCATCAAACACCTCCCTCATCGTGCCCTCCACTATCCCCACGCCATTTTTCAGATTTGGCGTGCCCCAAATGTTGTACCAACACACCTACGATGTATCTCCAGAGATTGTGAGAAAATCCTGCAGGCACCGGGGCGTGGGTTGGATGGCTTTAATGGGCTGGGTGTTGAAGGCAATCTCATTCCTGTACCTCCTTGCATTTGAGATAGTCTTGATTCATGGGGCTCAGAAGTCTGGACGGAGAGGGGCAGTACCTGAGAACACCTTGAGAAGCATTTGTTTATCTCTGCTTAGAAGAAACCCGGTCACTTGGGAAGACAAATTTCAGAGATGTTTTAAACATCTATAAACAAAGCCAAATATTTTGACTGTAGATGTAGTGCCTGCCACGCGTTACAAAGGCAGTCAGGAGTCAGTGTTTCTGAGCTCACGATCAGGCTGATGGATACTCAGTCCACCTGCTATTTTCTGCCTCGTTCGGAATAAAGTACCAACACTGTGAATATAAAATGTGAATATATTGTTCTATTTTCTGCTGAGAAGATGTTTTAGTCTTTTATGATTTTCAGAAAACTTGAAAGGGACCAAGTGAAAACATACTTGCCTGTATCATTTCTTCAGGAAAGAAGCCATTAAGTGCAGCAAGAGCTGTCTTAACTGTGCAATTACACTTATGGTCTGTCATCTACCATTAATGCCGGCGGGGGGGAAGAGCTTTTATTGCAGAATTATGCTGAGAACGAAATAAAACACCTGCATACTGGGGAAAGCCTGACTTGGCTTGCTCAGCAATAGTGGCCAGGCTTATTAGCTGCGTCTCTGGATAAACAGTCTTGTTATGAGCTGGTTCTGGTTTATGGCTCTCTGCTTGGGAGCCTAGAGCACACCTGTGACTCACCGCTCCGAAGGTCCACGCTTGCAGCACAGCGCGCTGCTTCACTGGCTCTCTCTTCCTCTGCCCCCAAGAGACCCGGCCCCAGGATCAGAGCCTGCTGCACGCCGGCTCTCTGCCGCAGAGCAGAGCACCGAGGGAGGCTAGTAATTTGCATCCAGGCCATGAGTGATGTCCCTACCTTGCCTTTTATATCATCCACTTGCTGCATTAAGCTTTCGCGCTGAACCTCTGCAAAGAGTATAAGCGTATTTTGGCAATGTGCACAGGGCAATAAAATCCCTCTTGTGTTCTACTCTGCTCTTTTCAGTCCACTGATCTAAAGGAGGCTCACAAGATACTGCCCTGGCTAAGTTGCTGGATGGGAAATAGCTTGCGGATGGAGCTGAGAGCTTTCTGGAGATTTTTTCCAAAGCGTGCAAGGCTCCTCTGAGCCTCTTTGATCTTCAGTAACAAGACCTCCCAGGAGACTTACAGCTCTTCCTGGCTACTGCCAGGCTAAAGAGAACAGTATTTTTATCTCCCTTTTCTCTGCTGTTGAAGCATTTCCCCTTCGGGGCACAGCTCCCCTTCATCACAACCTGATTTTACTTTTCTTTGAGAGACAGAAAAAAAAAAAGCCAAAACTGAGGCCAGCCAAATCTTTGTCAGAGCACTACTAACCTGAAAGGAGGTTAAGGAGGAGAGCATGTCCCGAATGAGCCAGGGCACAGCACGGCAGGCAGCCACAAGCACAGCGCGGGGTTCCTGGCTTGCTCCACGAGAGACACCCCAATCAGGGGCAGCACGCTGTGAAGACATTCAGTGCCCAGCAAGCTATCAGACGCACCGCGACATACTCAACTTGGGTAGATTACGCTGGGTTGTGTTCTCTGCACAAGCAGGGGCAGCATTACGTGGATGCATGCGGTGCCGGCGTGGCTCAAAAACTCTGTGTATCCCCAGGCCTTGCTGCTTCTCCCTGTCCACCAACATAGACTGGAGGAGCTGTGAAGAAGAGCACTTCTACCGGCCTAAATGAGCCCAGCAACACCGACATCCTCTTTTCCAAGCTTACTCAGGCTTATATTTGACTTGTGTTAAACCAGAGACTGGCCGTATCTCTGCTTTAAAAGAACGCTTGTTTTGTATGTGCTGCAGTGGGTATTTAAGGCATTGCAAAAAGCCCTTGGTTACCGGTCCGGTACGTGAAAGCTGCTTCTTGGTTTGGATTGACCTCCTAGGCCTATGAAGTGCAACCGTGACAGCTGGGAAAAACTGCTTGAAGCATAACTAGAGAAAAAGGAGCAGCAGCATCAAGGCCAGAAAACGCTCAAGTGCTGTGCACCCTATAAAAGGGTAAAATCTTGATGCTGGGTGAGAGAATTGTTGTTATGGGATCATCAAAGCTTTGGTGAAGTAGCCTTCTATCGACAAACCATTTCATAAACGGTGTGCTACAGCTCAGCTCAGCCACGAGCCCTCCTGTGCAGGAGAGAGCAGAAAGGCTGCGGTGTCCTGTTTTGAGAAAAAACTTCTTTCCTGTGAGGGTGACAGAGCATTGGAACAGGTTGCCCAGCGAGGTAGTGGCGTCTCCTTTGCTGGAGGTATTCAAAACCCGTCTGGATGCGATCCTGGGCAATATGCTCTAGAGGACCCTGCTTGAGCAGGGAGGTTGGACTAGATGATCTCCAGAGGTCCCTTCCAACCTCAGCCATTCTGTGATTCTGTGATTCTGTCCCTGCCCTGGTGCTAGGCAGAGGCACAGGCAGCTCTTGCATCTCTTGGCGTGGATGCTGGGGCAGATGTGAGCTCTTCAGACCCATTTTTCTTCTACCGTCCAGTGCTGTTACTACAGCAGGCAAAGGTCCCTGCCAGGAGCATGGGGAAAAGACAAGAGAAGCACAGAGCCCCACTCCAACCTTGATCCCGCTGGTGCTTACAAGCCCAGGGCTTGGGTTTTCACGATGCCCATGAACCAGTAAAGAGCACATAGTTCTAGAAAGCCACAAATTGCCGAAAACCCTCCTTCCCAATGCAGAAGGCTTGTTTCCTCTGCTCTGCCATAGATCCTAGAGGTTTTCCTCTGGGCGTGGAGCACAAAGCAACAAGCTTTAGTCAGAGCAGAGAGGAGCTGGCTAGTGCCCCTTTTTCAGATCATGTTATGTAGGTTGCTCCAGATCAGACGTGAAATCCAGGAATGACAGATAGGTAACGCCAAGGAATGGGCGGGCGCTGGGAAGAGTGCTGGGTGCATGGAGGCGGAGTACCAGCGGCATGACTTTCCTCTCTCTTGCTGAAGAAGGCACAGGGCTGGGTTGAGCTGTAACAGCAACGATGCTGCAGCATCAAGGGGAACCTAGGAGATGAGATGAGGCCTCAGGAGCTGTTGTTCCTAATCCATGTCACCATGAGGAACCCTGCACAGACCACTTGGTCAGATGTCTTGGTGCTTGCGAGTGTTCAGGAACGAGTGAACAACTGAAATCTCTCTTATCTGAAATGAGCCTCACCTTCCCCTTCTACACCATCCCTCGTCAAGCTTTGCCACAGTTCTGCTGTCTCTCTGTCACTTTTGCCTGCTGACCCGCTGCGGGAGGAGTGTCTCTTCTGACCCCAGGAGTTTTCTGAAGTGCTCGTGTTTGCGTTGCTTAGCTTGGCATCTTCTCCCAGAGACTGGTGCTGCCCGGCCACAAGTCCCCACAGAGGTGGGCACTGCTAGGACTCAGCAGGCCAGACAAAGCCATGGCCGTCTTGACTGAGCATTGGCATTGGTCCTGCTGCGAGCTGATGATTGGACAGGAGACTCCCTGGGGCCCTTCTAACCAGCACTTCTAGGAGGCTAGGGCGACTCCATGACTGCTCAAAACCAGCCAGCAGTTTTTTGAAAGTGTAAATTATATTAATAATATAACACAGCTAATGCACTGTCTTTATTTCTGAAGACAGGGTGGGCACTTGCTTCTTTGTGCTCTTCTCATCTGTATTGCCACCTAGCTGTTTGCAGGAGGTGGCCTACAGCTTCCTTGGTTACCAGCTGCATTAACAGCTGAGTTTGGCAGCTGTGAGCTCTTTCTCTCCAGGGACTTGCATCTAACAAATGCAGAGAGCAGTTCAAGACCAGCTCCATCTGAGCTGACCGTTAATTTTTCACCTGGAGACATGTACTAGAAAAAGTGGTAACAACTAAAACGGCCAACAATGCACGTAAAAACAGTAACTAAGTGATGCATTCCTTCTTTTTACAAGTTCACGTGAGTAAAAGATGTATATTGTATTTGTGCTACACTTGTACACAGGGCTCTCCCAGTCTTCACAACACCAAGTGGTCCTGTGCAGGAACATACCACTTGGATTTGCCAGGAAAGCTATGTATTCACAGAGCAACTCCCCCCACTTCCAGCCCCCTCAAAAATCCCTTTTCAAAAAAAAAAAAAATCTTTCCAGCCCAACAATTTTACCCCCAAGTTCAAATTTCAGGTTGGGACCCCCTGAGCTGCAACTCAGGAAGCCCTTGTCTTGCAAGGCCCTGCCTCCTCACTGTCGTCTGATGTTCCTGCCAAGACATGTCTCGTGTGGCCCCGTGCACACAGGGGGCCAAAAATGGTCCCGGTAGAGATTTCCACCTCTGAAGGAGAATGGGAGTGTGAAGCCCCTGGTCTCCACAGCCTGTGAAACAATGAACGCCATAACAGAACGGAAACGTTTTGCTCTGTGGCCAGAATATTCCTGGTTTGCATTTTCTACTAAGAAAAAAACATTTTCTATGGAAAAACAAAAACAGCCACTGATCACTGGCTAGACCTTGCATGACTGCGGAAGGGAGGCAAGACCCCAGCTGCCTGGTGTGCCCCAGCCCATGCCTACACGATGTGCTGTGGTCAGTATTTCACAGGAGCTGACTGAACTGGGACAGTGATGAAAGTGTAAACAGAGTGTCCTGCACCCAAAATCTCTCCCATTACTGTAGAGAAGGACTTATTGAAGTCCTGCACAAACCTGTTTGCTTTCAACCAGCCACAGAAACATCTGTGGTTTGATTTGGCATTATCTAAGTGGCTGTCCCCCTTAAGCAATCCAAAGCAGAGAAGAACAACTATTACTGCTTTTTAAAATGAACTCTTTGTTTGTGTTTTTTTTTTCACTAGTCACTCACATTTCATATCAGAGAGTTTATAAGAAGATGGTTTCCAGGTGCTGCAGATCGCCTGCAATGTGGAGGGAACAGCTGGAAGTGGATGGCGCAGTTCTCAGCATCAGCATCTTCCTAAGACACGAGGTTGAATTTTTCCTGCTTTTGGTTCTTGAGGGAGGGGGTATGACTGAAGAGCATTAAGCATGTTTGTCGCCATCAATACCACCTGACGTTTCCATTCTGGGGAAGATTTCAGAGCAGCAGTCTTAATTCCTAGGTGTCTGAAGTGAGGTTGGATGGATCTCGGGTCCTAGGCATGGCTCTTCCCCCTTGGATGCCGTATCCTGGGCTGACACCTGAGCTAGTGCTATGTGGGCAGGCTGGTCCCAGTGGCAGGCAGATGTACCCACAGATAAAGGGGGAATCTGTTTGGGAAGAGGTATGCAAGACACCCTGCCTGTTGTGCTCTCACACTTGCACCCTTGCGCACTCACAAAAACCTGTGCAGCTGCATTTTGTAGCCTCTGCAATTGTTGCTCCTAACAATAAGAGGCTGGATTTGCATCCTGGTCAGCACAGAGACAAAGGCCGGGGAGTCCGGAGGGCTCTATTTTGGGTAGGTCAGAGCTGGGTGCCTGCTGTTGTCAGTACACTGATGGAGAAGTGCAAGGAGGTGGCATGGGGCGGGGGGGGTGACCTAAACATCAACGGAGTGAAGCAGGAAATGTAGAAAAACTTGGCCCGTTTGTTCCGGTAGCTCCTTCTGCGCAAGCGCTCTAGGTCTGATACCCATTGGTATGACTATTTCTTGGGTAGAAGAATCTCAGTATCATTTTGTTCTAGGATTTCTGTGACTCAGAGTGACTCAGTCCACAGGGGAGCAGAGCTGAGCAGCAGATCAATGCCCTGGAGGCAAGCTTGCAAAAGGTGGGTTTATTGCCAGCTCTAGGACAAAACTCCTGGTTGAGCCAGCTCCTCCATTTGTAGAGTAGGCACCGGCACTGGGAAAGCCAGGGGAGTGCTGGAGGAGTACAGCAAATGCTCTGTGAAAACAGACCATATAGAAGTGCATAGTGACTCTTCAAGATAAGTACAACATATATATGTGTGTGTATGTGTATTTATGTATTTTTATACGTGTGTATGTATGCATGTGGGTACATCTACTGATTTGCTCTTCTTGTGCTCGAGAGCATTTGCAGGTGGAGGGAGTTTGCAAAGTGCCTAAAGGGAAGCTTTTACATCTTCCTTCCCCTCAACCTCTGAAAAGTTCTCTGGGCACTTGGACTCAGACCTGCCACGATCCTTTCGCCACATTATCTCCAATGGTGCTGATGGGTGCTGAGCGCTTAAAATCCAGGCTAAGGTCTTTAAGAAGCCTTGGAGTAATTTACCCATCTTTTAGTCAAGATCAAAACCCTTTGAGAGAAACAATGAAAGCAAGATGCAGGACTTGATCCAGTTCCTAAAATCAATTGAAGGAAGAGGGTGATGCTGGATGAGGATATCCAACTGTACACACTACAGCAGCACGTAAAAGCACATCTGGCAAAAAAACCCCACGCGGCAGATGAGGCAAACTCCCAGGCCTGGCATTTCTGCAGGTCCATGCAATTTGTTTAGGGACATTTCAACCTCAGCAAGGAAGTTGAAGGCTTTCCATTTTGCAGGGAAATGGCTTTTTCACAATGCCCGCTGGAACAGCAGAGGTTGCGGGATCTCCCTCCTTGCAGATAGTCAAAACTCAGCTGGACACAGCTTGGGGCAGCTGACTGTAACTGGAGCTGCTCGGAGCAGGGAGCTGAACTCGAGCTTTCCAGAGCTCCCAGCCAGCCCACGTTACCCTGTGACTCTGCGGCGTCAGGGGTGGGAACAGGCTTGCTGTGGCATGTGGGACTGCAAACCTAAGTTATCGCCTCCATTTTACTCTCTTATCCACAGGGAAACGTAAAAAAGTACAAAATGTTAACTTTCGAAAAAACAAAAATATTTCACAGCACTGTCTCATTTGGCAAAAGGGCAGATGCGGGTCATTTGGTCTTCTTTTTAATCCAACCTTCTCTCCCCCCTCCCCCCAATTTAACATCAAACAGCTCCAGTCTCAAGCAAGGCCTGAAGGATTCAGCCTCCCTGGGCCTGGCCTACTCTGGCGTCGGTGCGACGGCGCAATCTCAGCTGGAGCTTCACAGCGCTCGGCACAACGCACGCGCGGCACAACGCCCGCACCGGGGCCCGACAGCAGCGGCGGCTTTGCTGCCTCTGCTTTTCCCAGCTGCTTTCCTCTGCGGATCCGAACGGGAGTCTTCGCCTTCACAGCGAGATCACCACATGTTCCCATTCTTTCATGTTAGAGGCAACCTCCTTTTAAGTGGATATTTATAGTGCACAGCGTGCGGCACCAGCTGGGAGGCATTACTCCAGATCCAAGCGCTTCCACTCGGTCCAAAGAGCTATTTGTGGCTTCAGCCCCCCTAATGCCATTCATTAAGTTCAAGTTTAATAATCCTCACATCGCTTCTACTTCTTCTTAAGTTTGTACTGGAAAAACAGTCTCAGCTTCCACTAACTCTCATCCATGTAACTAACGTGCTGGACATATATATTACACATACATGCAACATGAATGTGATATATCATTGTGCAATTCAGTACATACAATTCCTGCCTCGGCGAAGCAAAACACGCTGCGGCCACCCCTCAGCACTGCCGGCTCTGCGGGGGGGAAACCCCCCGAGGGCACCGACCCTGGTAGTGGCGCGAGACATGGAGCCAGCTGAGACCCTATCTGCCACACCGCGAGCACGGGAGCGAAGCGCAGCGCAAAAAGGTGTTCCGCTTTCCGAGCTGCAGTTGTCTGCTTTTTAAACGTTGCTAGGGCATTCACGTGGTTTCAGGCAGAGTGTGGATTTTTTGGACGCATCCTTGGATCTGAGGCGTGTTCCCCTCTTTTCCAAGGCAAGGACAAAGCTGGTGCTTAGCTCTGCGCTTGTGTCCAGAGGCAGCATTATCCCTTCTGCTCCAATATTTCACTGCTAGCAAAGTCGGTGAGTTCTGTATCATTTATGCACTCAGCATTTTTCTTATTTCAGTATGATTCAGAGACTGATGAACTATCACAGTGCAGTGCCATGCTTTGGTCCTTTGCAGACTCCCTTCAAGACGCTAATCTCAGCAGGCCCTAATCTATAATTAGCCCTCTCTCCTAGTAATGTCAGGTGCTGGATATTGTATACAGCAAACCCTGCTTACTGTTTTCTGCTACTTCCAAAGATAATTAAGCAGAGCACAAACCAGTGCAGCTCAAGTGTTGCAGACAACACTACACAGCCGCTTTTGAGTTGTCAGCGTTTGTCATCCTGGCTGCTTAGCAGGAATTTGCATTAACAATATATTATAGTTTAACATTATGTAATTAAAAAAAATCAGATTTCCTCCATGAGAGAAGCATTAGCTTGTGGTGGGGGAAAAAAAAAACCAAAACAGTACATGGCATTGCAATCAACAACTTTAATGATGCGTGCGGGGAGAATGAAGTTTGCACAGGCAACCTTACATCTGTCACTTGCTAAATTCCGCGTACTTGACTTTTGCAATGGCAATTACTTTTCCTTTAATGTCATTTCTTGTTATGTATTTTATGGAGCCCGCGTTTACTCCAGGCTGGAATCTACGGATCCAACCTCCTGTGGTTATTTCCCCTGCAATAGATTGGAAATCAAGCTGCAATTTAAAACTTTTGATATAAAAACCTGATAGGCAGGTTTATACCGTAGGTGTGGATACGGCCACCTGATTCTGCCCAGCAAATTACAAGTGATGAAGAGCCAAATGCTGGACCTCAGATCCTGTGGCCCATGGGCTGCAAGGGCCTGGTGAGGCTTTTTGGAAGCCCACCAGCCACTGGCTCATCCGTAGCGGCGTCCTCACTGCGGCTCGCACTTGTTAAGGCCAAGCAACAGCTTTTTCCTGCAGATCTCTGCGCTAATCTGCTTACTTAATTAAACAAATCCCCAGATGCAATTAGCACTGATAGTTAAGACTTCTGCAGATGATAGAGCGAAGGTCCTGGTGATTTTAATGAGCGCCTGACAAGGGTATCGTGTAGGAATGGTTGTGTCTGTTCCCTTGGTTTTTTCTCATTTGCCTGACCCTGGTAGTCTTGTACCCAATTAAAAAGTAGCGAAGCCATCATGAGAGGAGGCAGCCCAGGAAATAGCTGCCATCGCAGAGCATCTCATGGAAAGTTACCCAATTTCCATGTGGCCTTCCCTTCCTACCCCTGTTTAAAAGCATCACAGTGACTTTCTGCTGGGGTTTCTGCAGCACAGGCAAGGGAAGGGGGCATCTCGGGGAGATCAGTGAAACAAGCCTAATTCACGTTTGCTACCCTTGGCTTCCCCAGGGATCGTGCAAGAATCTTTTTCCCCCCCCCCCCCCTCTCTTTTCCATTCATTTGGCCCTGCTCCAAAACCATTTCAGCCTCTCGCTGCGGATTTCACTGCTTCCCTTTCTGCTCCCTGTCCAGCACGGGCCACAAACACAACGCACACGCTCTGCCAGCCTGCACGCACAACCGCAGCGGCTGCTGCTCGGGAGTGTAGCCCTTTGGTCCCCAAGAAACGCGACAACTGACCCCCTGTGCCACCCTCAACCTGTCTGACGCAGGGTGACTGTCGCATTGCTCGCTTGTGCCCGGTACAAGGCATTTGGGTTCGACAGTTGCGTAGTCCTTCCGCTGCCACGGTCGCAGCAGCCTTGTCCACAGAGCCTAGTTTGCATTTGCAAAAGCTGCATGAACCAGATCCTTCTTGGCAGCGGCCTTTATTCCTAAATGCCATCAGGGCTTGGGGATGCGCTGGTTGGTCGCAGGCACCCTGCACTCCTCCTTATTAGAGCTTGCTCTTCCACCTCTTATTTACCCAAGTTGCGTAGGCTGGGTACTTCTAACACTCGAGAAAACAAAGCAGTACCTTTTGGTACCTTCCTCTTTTTAAGGCTGTTGAGTGCAATTACCTCTCAGCCGTGGTCTCAGCTATTTCTTAAACAAGCCCCTCCCTGAAAGCACAAAATGACTGATGTCTATCAGCGGCCGTTACAAGTGATGTTTTACAGCAGATTTGTCCCACCTTGCAGCGTGCAGAGGTGATGGAAAGATGCTCCGTGCTGTTTACAGGCTGCGCAACTGAATCATCCCTGTGGGTTATTCTGAGGGTCACCGCCACAGTTGCTGTTTTAGAAAAAAGAAAAGAAGTCTGGAGGAATTATTCTCAAGGCCCCTATCTCAGCGGGCTCTTTCTTGTTTTCTCATTTATTGCTGCTTTCTTTTCTAGCTGAGAAAGCAGCAGATGTTATTAAGCTTTGTTAGTGTGAGATTTCAGGGGATAATCGCAGTGATTTGCGTCTCTGTTTTCCTAGATGCTAATACCAACATTGTTCTGGGTTTGGTTAATTAAACTGATTTATTCTAAGATCAGCGTTTACCTTAAAAGCACTAAAAACTTTCTGAATAGATGCTAGCTATAAATACTGGAAATGCTCGACGTGTGTATTCTTAAGGAAAATATAATATTTGCTCCTGAGCACTCTTGATGAACTTAGACTTCCAAAAGGCTTCATGGAAAGCTTTGAACTCAGTTGCAAAAACTCAGCACTCCTCCTTTCCTCCCATTGCCTCTAGCCAGAGCTGTGATTTTTCATTTCCCTGACAATTCAGGAAAAGAAACAGTCTCTGTGACCGTTTTTATTTATAACTGAGGTCCCGAAAAGTTGAAGATACATATTTCACATTGGCCAATGAAGCGTAGCTGGAACAAGACTAAAAAATAAGAGCGGGCAAGAACGTAATTTGGAATAAAATTGCGCTGAGCGGCACGTGTGCTCTCGCACGGTGTCTGGTCCCGGCGTGCTTTACTAGATGAATTGAGCAAAGACCTTGTAATGAAGGATCAGAGTAGGAAACAAAACTGGTGTTGGCCTAGTTCTGCCCTCGGCGACGTCCTGCCAGCTGCAACACGTTTTAAAAATCCTTTCCCGTGCTAATGCTCGTGAGCTTTATAGTTCAGCACCGTGGGCCACGCTGAGCCCTGCTGAAAACTCACCCTTGCGCTCGCTCTGCTTGCGTCGGTCTGGGGCGTTGCTTTGTTCCCCAGGCGTACGCTGGTATTGCCTAGGTCCGGGTTTCGCCCCGTGCAGACGTACCCAGGCGGAAGTCGCTGTTAAAGCCGTCAGCACAGCTGGCAGGATCTGGGCCTTCCTTACTTCCCAACAGGGTTTTTATAACATGAAGTTAATTGCATCCGATGTTTCAGCTCCTCCGTTCCGTAGGGCTCGTAATGAGAGTCTGGCAAATAATTTCTTGTGTATAATTTGTTGCCTGAATTCAACCTCTTCCCCCGTTGACAAAAGCCACGAACAGACGGCAGTTTCCCTCCAGTGTATTCAGCGCTGCCTGAACGGACGCAGATACGTTTTTCCCCAGCTTGCCCTTCTTGGCGAGGAGGTCGGTTACAAAAACAACACTGCCCTTTTCAGCTACTCTGATCTTGGTTCGCTGAGGAGGTTGGGCCAGCCCGAGCCAGCCGTGCTCCCCGCACGTTGCACCTTCGGCACCTGAGAGGACGTCTTAAATCCCCGCTCCCCGGCCCCTATACGACAAACCCACCTGCAAGAAGTAACAACCGTGCGATCACGCCGTATAACCAAGCTTGGGATGCGGATACTCCCACCCCGAGGTGGCGAGGTGGGTGGCTTCTGCGCGTCCGTCGCTGCTTCGTGTTGTCCCGGCAGCCCGGGAAGAGC